TTATATTCTTGTTCCAGAAATTTCACAGGCCCATAGAAAAAGACCCCTTTGTTATAGAACAGTAACTCTATCATTTTTGTAAGTTTTGTCTACCGTTTCTATATTATTTAGTATATATTCTTTTATAGTTTATACATCATACTAAAATAAAAGCAAAAATTAACTATTTACCTGTATTATTTATTCCTAATACAATTTTATCCATAAACTAGCAACTAAAGATAATTTCTATATTAAGTTAAGCTTAAGCAAATCTTTCTATGTAAATGTATAAAATATTTTATAGCTCTAGTTGGGCAATCGTGGTTAGGGCACATTATTTCAGTGCCACAAGCTGGGCTAAGATTTTGGTGGACCGCAGATAAATTGTCTTTCAAGTTGAGCTTAGCCATTGTTCCAGTTATTTGCCACAGCAGAACATAAACATTTTCTCCACATTTTCTGTGGCAACTGCGCAAAGAAAAGGCAAAACGAATACGAAAACGAAAGCACGGCAAATGAAAGCCATAAACTTGGAGCAAAGTACTTTTCCTGTTCATGCTGTTGTTGCTATTGCTGTTGTTGCTGTTGTTTGGGCCAGCTACTTTGCAAGTGGGTCAAAAAGGGTTTTTTAGTTGAAGATTTGTACAAAGTTTCAGCGCCAAGGCAAAAGTCGCATAATTCGTAGTCAAATCAACGCCAAGAGTTCTGGCTAACAATTCAATTAAGTCAACTGCAACGGCAATGGCTAAGGCAGAGGAAGGGGAAGGGCAGCGGCAGAGGCAACTACAACTTATATCGAATTAATTTGCTAGATGGCGCAAAATCGAATTCGCTTATAAACAAATCAAGACACGTCACATTTGTGGGGCCGCCGCGAAAATTTTATTGCAATTGCACTATACACTGAGCGAAAAATATAAATAAACAAAATAAATAAGTTGAAAAATTTTGAACATACATATTTCCTATAAATTTTATATAAATTTATGTACTTTTTGAGTATTTTTTTTCTTTTATAAAAATTTGTGTACAATTTTAAGATTTTGTTTAAACATTTATTAAATTTTCGCTAGTTAAATTGATACATTTTTGTATATTTTTTTAAATTTCTCTCAGTGCATTTTCGCATGCTCAATTGAATATGCAATTGAAAACACATGAGTCTGTTTGGGTTGACTGACAGCGGCGGGGATCCGCGGGCTTGTGGCGAGGCTCAGAACAGAGCTAGCCAGCCAGACGATCGTATAATGTAAATATTTGCTCATGTCGATGTTGATTTGACCAACAAATTGGTCACGATCGTTAAACAGACGCCGCTTTATTGTTGTTCTCTAGTTGTTGTTATAGAGTTTTTAGTGTGTGGGTTCATTGGAGGTTCAACTACCTCTGAAGAGCGTGAGAGGGAGAGAGCGGGGCAGGGACAGGCAGAAGCAATTGCTGTTTGCCATTTGGCAGCGGAAGTGCCAACAGTTGTCAGGAGTGGCTCACCTAATGGCAAATGCAGACCACACAGACTAGCTCGAACGCATCTGGTGGGTTGGTTGGTTGGTTCTCCACTACAGATGCTTCACTGTTTACTTACATGCACATTGGCGTCTTCTGAGCACTTCGCAGCTGCACTTACCTGCAACAGAGTAAAGAAAATTGAAAAAGGCATTAGAATTATTTCAGCTGTAGTTCAGACAATGTTGCCAAAAGGCGAACGAACAGGGCTTGTTAGTTGGAATGTCTAGAGATGTTAAAGGCCATGGCAGAGTTATTTTCTTCTTTTTAGGTGAATGTGTGCATTCGCTCCCCTAGGCCTTCTCCAACTGTCAGAGAGCTGGGCATAACAATAATTGCAAGTTCTTGGTAAAGTGCTTATTCTTGAATGAAATGAAATTCAAGTCCAGTTGCAGCAACTCACAAATCAAATTTGCTGAAAACTTTTCAAAATAGAATAAATATACATATCCTATATGAAATGGAATAGGGGCATCATTAAGAGAGTTTTTGTTTCAAAGGTAACGAATCTAGCTATTAGAATTCATTTTATTCTTAGAAAAGTTTCATATTAAGATTTGCGTAAATGAGGAGATGAGTTTTAAGTAGAGAATAGATAGATAAAACGTAGGCAAAAGGCATGACACAGATACGTGAAAGATAAAGGGAGACAGCAAAGACCTATGATTGGGGGTTGTACTATAAATATATATTAAATATATTTGAGAGACTATATGAATGCAGTTAAAGAAGATATGCAGCGATGTATGGTCGAGCTATAATATGCTTACTCTATATACTATTAAGATATCCTAATAGTAGAAAATTATCTTGAATTTTTTACCATAGCTAACAAAAATATGTTATATAATATAATATATTA